AACTAGAACACATGGACTTTGTAATTGAGCAGTTTTTAGAAAAAATCCAAGATGGGCCAGCCTTTGTGTGTAGTGTGTGCCATAGACTGTTGTTTAAACACCAGGTTTTGATTTGTACTAGAGAGAATTACCGTAGCAATACAAATGTAGCTGCTGTCGCAGCTGGATGTATTCAAGATGTCTTTGTGCATAAATGTCTTCCTTCTTGTGCCAAACCATGTGTTTTGAAAGCGTCCCCTCGTGGTAGTTTGTGGATTTGTCATTCTTGTCACGGCAAGCTCAGTAAAGGTCAGGTGCCAGCTGAGAGTGCAACCAACAATCTGACCGTTGATCCAATCCCTCCTGAGTTGGCTTGTTTAAATCGTCTAGAATCACATTTAATTGCACTCCATATCCCCTTTTTAAAGATGGTAGCTCTTCCTAGAGGGGGTCAAAATGGTGTTCATGGTCCAATTGCATGTGTTCCAGCCAACATTGTCCAAACTAGTAACGCGTTGCCACATTCAAACATGGAAGGTTCAGTTATTCCTGTTAAACTGAAGCGTAAACTTACGTATAAAGGGCATTATGCATACGAGTATGTTGACCCTATGCATATCAAGAAAGCACTGCAGTATTTGAAAGAGAACAATCCCTTCTACAAAGATGTGCAATTTAATGATGACTGGATAAATGAGTTCTGCAAGGATGAGAGTGCTGACAGAGAGCAGCAAAGTATTGTTGATGAACAGGGAGGATCAAATGCAGAGACCTCTGAGGCATCTGCAGCTGAAAAGGCTGCAGCTGAAAGGACTGCAGCTGAGGAAGCTGAGGCTGAGGAAGAACTTCTGCATGATCGGCAGCAACATTGCATGTTTCAAGACACATGCTCAATGCCTGTTGATATTGGCCAGGAAGCGCTGGACCAATATTTTGATGGTGTTTTGAACTTGGCTCCAGCTGATGGACAGAACCCTGTGAAGGTTTTGACAACAAAGGAGAACGAGGCCAAGTGTTTCCCTGTGTTGTTTCCAAAAGGCCGTGGAACATTTTTTGATAACAGAAAATTTTCTCTGACTCTGTTCCGCTATTTGAGCAACAGGCTATATCATGCTGATGGTAGGTTTGCGCAGAATATTGAGTTTATTTTTTATGCTTGTTACATGCTTGAGTTACATCAAGTCATGTCCAGTGTGTCAATTGCATTGAGAAAAGGGAAAGCCAGTAAGGTTAGCACAAAGATTAGTGATGTATTGAAAGATGACGAGAGCCTGCGTAATCTTTTAAATCATGACAATGGGTACCGCTTTTTAAAACCTGTAAGGGGTACTCCAGCATTTTGGCAGGGAATTCAGAAGGATTTGTTAGCATGCTTACGCCAGCTTGGCAAACCTGCATGGTTTTGTTCATTTTCTGCAGCAGATTTGAGATGGAAGGAATACTTAGAGACCATTCTTAGGGCAGAGGGGCGAACGCAGACATTTGAGGATTTGGAGTGGGCAGACAAGTGCGACCTCTTGCGTCGTAATCCTGTACTCGCCGCTCGCATGTTTGATTATCGCTGGCATCTGTTTTTGAAAGAGGTGTTGATGTCTCCAGCAAATCCAATTGGCAAAATCCTCGACTACTTTTACAGGGTGGAGTTCCAGCAGCGTGGCTCCCCACACGTTCATTGTCTGTTTTGGATTGAGAATGCCCCTGTAATTGATGTGAATACAGATGATGAAGTTGTTCAGTTTATTGATAAATATGTTTCATGTGAACTGCCTAACAACACTGATGATTTACATGAGGTTGTTTCTTCAGTGCAGCAGCATTCAAAGCGGCACTCCAAAACTTGTAAAAAAGGTGGAAAACAGTGCCGCTTCAATTTCCCAAAGCCAGTGTCTGCTAGGACTTTCATTTCCAGGGCATATAAGGAGGTTGAGATGGAGTGCGTGTGTCAGCGCAACGTCCATAACATGGTAGAACAGTGCACTTGTGGCAAGGAAGAAAATGAGAAGAAGCACAAGCAGGAAGGGGAATTTGCTGTTAAGGTTTTTGATTTAATAGCTAAAGCATTGTCAGACGAGAACTGCACAATTCAAACTGCAGATGAGCTATTTGCGAGTATAGGTATACGACAGGAGACATTTGAGGCAGCATACAGGAGGTTAGGGAAAAAGACAGAGGTGATTATGCGACGGCAGGTTATTGATACGTGGATCAACCCACATTCCAAGACTCTGTTAAAAGCTTGGAATGCAAACATGGACATCCAGTATGTGACTGATGCTTATGCTTGTGTAGTCTACATCATTTCATACATCTCTAAAGCAGAAAGACAGATGGGATTGATGTTAGCAAATGCACAGCGTGAAGCATCTAAGGAAGACAACCTCAGTGCCAAACAGGCTTTGAAAAAGCTAGGCAGTGTTTACCTTCACAACCGAGATGTTGGGGCTCAGGAGGCAGTCTACAAGCTCAGCAACATGCACTTAAAAGAGTGCTCTCGGAAGGTGGTTTTTGTACCGACAGGTGACAATGTTGTCAGGATCAGCAAGCCATTGACTGTGTTAAAAGACATGGCTGCTGAATCCACAGAACAGATGTGGATGATCAACTTTGTTGACCGTTATAAAAACAGACCCAGAGATCATATATTTGAAGCCATGTGCCTTGTCCATTTTGCTGCTGAGTATCGTGTGCTCTACAAAGGTGAAAAATCCAAAAACCAAATTGAACTTGATAACGGCTGTGGGTTTGTGTTGAGAAGAACCCGTACACAGCCTGCTGTTGTAAGGTACGCAAGATTCTCTGAGACTAAAAGTCCAGAGTTATTTCACCAAAGCATTTTGCAGCTGTTTCTTCCGTATCGTACAGAAAAACAGCTAAAGCCAGAGGGATTTGTCACTTTTGAAGACTTTTACAAAACTGGCCGTGTCATCATTGGTGATGGACAGCTACGTTCAGTGAAGTCAATTGTGGACTCGAATCGCTGCAATTATGAAATAGATGCTGATGACTTAGATGAGGTTTTTGATTCTGTAAATTTTGATGGTCCTCTAGAAGATGCGTGGGGGCAGTTGTTCCCACAGCAAGAAACTGAACGCCTGGAGTCAATCCAGGAAAGGGCAGAGCAGATAGAGGTAGACAATGACCCAGTGGAACATATTCCTGATCTGGCTGGGGGTGTAGAGCAGGCTAAGGTAACTAATTGCAACAATTTAAGTAGAAGCGAGGGATTGGCATTATGCAGGTCTTTAAATGATGACCAGATGCGTGTGTTAAACAAGGTCCATCAGTGGTGCGTTGTTAAAGCAGCAGGTAGAAACCCGGACCCCTTTCATGTGTTTGTAACAGGTGGTGCTGGCGTTGGAAAATCGCATTTAATCAGAGCAATTCAATACGAGGCCACAAGGTTATTGTCACCAATGTGTCGACAACCTGACAATATCAGTATTTTGTTGACTGCACCAACAGGGATTGCTGCATATAATCTGCATGCAACCACCCTGCACAGTACATTTAGCATAGGGAAAGATGTTCGCCTCCCTTATGTACCAATAGGTGAAGAAAAGTTAAACACATTGAGAATGAAATATTGTGATCTCTAAATCTTGATAATTGATGAAATTTCTATGGTGGATCACAATATGCTCACTTATGTGCACGGCCGACTTCGCCAAATTAAACAGACAGGCACTCACACTCCATTTGGAAATGTGAGCGTCATGGCAGTGGGGGATTTTTATCAGTTGCCTCCGGTGAAAGGCAAACCGTTATACATGGAACCACTTGGAGTAGATCTTTGGAGCACTCATTTTAAGGTTGTCAAGTTGACAAAAGTAATTCGGCAGACAGACGAAGATTTTGCCGGACTACTGAATCGAGTTCGCACGCATCCAAAAGACTCAGACATGTTGCAAAGTGATATCACCACTTTGAAACAGCGCGAAACTGGCGAAGAATGCTCAGGTTTGCATATATTTGCCACAAATAGCCAGGTCAATGAGCACAACTTTGAGCAGCTGCAAAGAACATGTCCAGATTACCATGTAATACAGGCTCAAGATTATATAAACAACTCAAAGACAGGCAAACTGGAATTGAAAAAAGGCTATCATACACTAACATATAACACGTGTTTAGATGCAACATTGTTATTGGGTACTGGCTCTCGTGTCATGTTGACAAAAAATTTGGTTTTGGCTGACGGCTTGGTTAATGGTGCATGTGGCACAGTAACAGATATAGTTTGGGTTGAAAATGAAAAGTTTCCTCAGTGTATTTTTGTGAAATTTGATGATGAGGTCGTTGGTGTTGAAAGGAGGAAACAGTCAGGAAGGGTGTCAGATCATCTTGTTGGTTCCACGGCTATTACACCGGAGGAAGAAAGAGTGACAAAGAAGGGAGGTATGCGCCGTCAATTTCCGCTTCGTCTCGCCTGGGCCTGTACTGTACACAAAGTACAAGGCCTCACAGTTGATACAGCCATAGTCAGTATGAAAAAGGTGTTTTCTGCTGGTCAGGCTTATGTGGCTTTGAGTCGTGTCAGGACTCTTATGGGATTGATCATTCAAGATTTCAATCCCAAAAAAATCTATTGTCGGCCAGAAATTGCTCAGGCCACTTCAAGGATGGCTTCATTCCTAGAACCTATCACCTGGCAAGGGAGAGTGGAGGACACTTTGACAGTGTTCCTCATGAATGTTCAGGGTTTGAGACGCCATGTGTCTGACTTGGCTCAGCACACACAGCATTTGCAGCCAGAGTGCATTGCTGTGACTGAGACGTGGTTGCATCCAGGTTGTTCCTCAGAGACACTCAAGATAGCCAACTACTCTCTGCATAGTTGTCCACGAGCTCTGGCATATGATGGTCAAACTGCCCCCTTTGCCTCTTTGCAGGCAAAAGAACATGGGGGAGTTGCAATGTATTGTGATGGAATTATGCAGTTTGCAATCATCAAGGTGCCTTGTTTCAATGTGGAATGTTTGGTGTACCACTGCATAAACCTCAACATTTTCCTTACAGTCATATATCGGCCTCCAACCTACCCCATGACACTATTCAAACAAAATATTATCAAACTACTCCAATGGCTGGAACACATTGGCAAAAACATTATTGTCATGGGAGATTTCAACGATGACATATTGAAGTCATCTTCAATTTGCAAATTTTTCCAAGATAGAGGTTATGATCAGGTGATCACCCAGCCTACCACAGAGCGAGGCACTTTGATTGATCATGTTTATGTGAGAGGGGGCATTTTCCACACACAAGCTGAAGTAATGCCTTCATATTTTAGCGACCATGAAGGTATTTACTGCAGCTTTAAAATTTGTGATTAATCATGTACACTGCTGTTTTTGATATTATTAATGCTTTTCATAGAAAAGTAGATTTGAAAGTGTTTTAGCAGGTTTCCATACAGCTGGCAGATGGATCAATTTACAACACCTGGACGAACCATGATGTCAACGCAAGTGACCACTTCAGGACATTGTTTGGATGGACATTTATGGTGATTGTATGCAAACTAACATGTGATACATAACCTCTCCACTTCATTTACACTTGCAATTATTTTGAACATCACAACTTGACTACAAAAAATGAAACATTAGCAATGCGCCTAGTTACTATTTCTCCAATATGATGACTTCTTCATTTGTCAGCATGTAACTGATATAATCTCTCCTCTCCTCACCGTTTCAACAAATACACCATACATCTTATGATCGCTCCACCTGAAGACTGACAAGCCCATCATTACTCCACCTTTGGTGAGATGAGACCCTGATGGATTACTGAAACAATACACAATTGGTAAGTGTGAATTTCAATTTATAGTTAAATATTTTCATTCACACACTATACTACTTGTGTAAACACGCATTGTGTCTCTTCCTCAGAAGAGATGCATACAACAGTGGTATATGATTGTAATTACCATGAATTCTAACTGTGATTATGTAACTGATGTGTCATGTCTTATTCAAAACATGTACCCACATATTTATCCCATGACACCACCATCACAAGAGATATCAGCCACTATCAACTCCAGCCAAAAATAATGCATGCTAAGCAAGTGTGTTATAACTATATGTTGATTGATTCTCATTATATAAACATGTAACTAATATATTGTCTCTTCTTTACAGCGTGTTACCAACCACTCAACCCACCACTACTCCAGGGATCAGCCTATGACAACTCCACCCAAAAAGAAATGCAGCACACACTTCACATGTACCAGAAATTCTTTTTTTAATTGCTTCTCAGCTTTTTTGTAATAACAAGTCACATAATTTAATTTCATAATACATTTTGATATTTAATTTGTATTTCCTTTGTACCTCAATTTGTATTATATGTATTGCAATGTATTTTACATATATGAATTTTGTATGAATGATCACACCATTTTTGATAACCTACTCTAGGATTGCACACAACACTATCTATGGTTAACTCTGGTGCATTTACATGCCTTTTCACTTTATTAATTGACATGCTTATCACTGTCCACTGTCCCTGATAAATAAATAAATAATAATATACATCATTTCTAATCATTTATTTATATTACATATTATCCACTGTGCTTGTACATGATTTAATTCATTTTACCATTCAAACATCTTCAGTTATTGTACTGACTTTCAGTGGGAAGGTTGTATTCCAATTGTGAACTGTCTACTTTATGATCAAATGTACATATAACATGGCACTAAAACACCTTCATTTGTCCTGGGTGTATTATTGATCAAAGGGTTCTTCTTTAGCAAGCGTTTTGGTAGATACTTTGCATGCCGCTGCAAAGCTTCACATTTCAGGTGAAAAACTGGACTTGCTTGGAGACAAAGCACATCCCCCAAAAAAAAAAAAAAATCTAAAAACAACACAATCAGCTCAGAGTGTATGACAACTTATCTATAAACTCACAAAATCTCTAAACCAAACATATTTCGAGACAACTGATCCCCTCTACTACAACAATCACAAACATAAAGGTCTGACACAACTACACCACAGTATCAAGACAAAATTAAGTTTTGTTTTAAGATTTAGATATTAAGATTGTAAATTTAGGAGAATAACTCATAAGGTATGTAAAGTCATAAAACTACTTTTATGAAAGAGGAAATGACTACAGCTGGTCATCTGCAGGGTTACCGCTCCATGTATCAGCAGGTGATTCACAGACTTATAGTGGTTTCTTAAGAGACAATCAAACTGATGATCAACACTTGTGATCCAGAGTGGATCATGCTCAGAGGACTACCACATCTCTGACACCATCACTAGCCTACACCTGCAGAGACAACAACACATTATGGCATATGGATTCATATCATAAACTAAAGCCCAATGTCATCAACAAATATTTGCAACTGCATAAACAAAAATACCCTCACATATTCATTTCTGTCTCCACAAGCTAGCTTTTGTAGAGGTAGAAATTAATATACTAAGGATACATCTGTCAATGCAGCCGTGAATATCTGTGAATGACATTGAACTTTACTTTATGATATAAATCCATATGCCAGAATAAGGTACTGATGTCTCTGGAGGCATAAATTACCAACACTGTCTGAAACATAATGCTCATCAAAGCTCAACTCCCTCTGTATCACAAATGTTGATCATCATCAGGTTGATTGTTTCTTACATCCAGAAATAAACCTGCACATAACAAGCTTCAGAAATTTCCCCCTTCACAAAGGCACCTTGATGACTTTCAATACCTTAGGACTTCATTCTCCTAAATTTACAACCTTAATCTCTAAATCTTAAAAGAATAAAAAACATAAATGACGTCCTACTCCTCTGCTGTACATGTGTCACCTTTCTTATTTCTAATGTTTTTAATTGTTGAATCAGAGCATATCATTTGTCTCTAACTCATTACTGTTTGGTTTACAGATTGGAGTGAGCTCAGACATCATGCTCTCAGATAGCCTGAGCTGACTCAATGCTGTTTTTGGATTTCTTGTACTTTCTTTTAAGCCACACTGTGTCTCCAAGCAAGTCCAGCCTTCTGAAATTCAAACAAAACTAAAGCATACATAAATGCACACTTGAAAGATGCTAAACACGCTTAACATTTCTTAGCATCTCTTGCCAAATGGGACACCATAAGCACACTCATGACATCATGCACACTTCAATGAACCATTCAACAATGCAGGAGTGCACTTAGTCCACTGCAATCTCTAAAATGAAACACAACCCTTGACTGTGACATCACAGTTTGAGATACAGATCAGCTACTCCTACTGTCTCTGACGCTCTACTTCACAGATCATCAAACTGACCATATGTGTAATGAGCGCATATTGAATGTTAATTAGATTTACTATATTCATTATTAGAAGAAATAACAACAGTCTTTTTCGACAACATTTCTTTTTACTACAAAATTAGAAAAATGGAAGCATAGTCCAATGGAACCATTCAAGTGATGTCATACCTCTTAATTTATGAATATGTTGGCTAGTCTGCACATTTCTTCATTCATCAGGTTTCCTGCATGCATAGTAACAGAGCACATCAATAGCAGTGAATGATAAGTATGAGTGTGTCATTATGTATGAACAGAAAGTGGTTTACTTACACATCCATAGAAAATAACTGGTTAAACATAGCACGCAAACAAAGCTTTGCCACAACACTGGAACTTCCCAAGTAGCCAATACCAAGGTCACACAATCATGGTGAGCAAAGCTCAAACCAGGCCATGCACTCACGACACTGGTTGCGGCAAGAGAAAGTGAAAGCAACACGCAATGGCAGGAAGAACAGCAAACGCGGATGAAGGAAAAGGGTCTTTACAGTGATGGGCGTTACCAGAGAGGGCAATGATCAGAGGATGCGTATGGGACGGGGAGGTAATCATGTTCAAGGGGGGGGGGGGCACGCAACACGGCTCGGGCCCGCCAGTGCCCCATCGGGGCCCTAGTTTTTCTTTTTTTCTCCCCTTTGAACTGGAAAATGGCCCACTTCCCACTGGCGAAAACTCATGAAATTTGGCAGGACGACCGGGCCTGGTGAAAAATTTGATATTCCGAAGTCGCCCAAACAATAAAATGCAAAATGGCTCCATAGCGCCCCCTAAGGTGAAAATTCACATGACGGCTGTACGCTTTGTCATATTGACACAAAAATTGACACACACATGTATCTCAATAAGATCTACAAAAAAGTCAGTGCGGGCGTATCTGTCAAATGTACGGTTAAAGGGTTATTTCGCATTTTTTGCCGATCCGCACACATTGGAATTTCGCTAACTCCTCCGAAGGCTTTCGTTCCACCGGCACCACATTTGCTCAGGCCAATCTACACCCCATGGCCATTAAAAGTTATTCAAATCATGACGCTGCACCCCACGGTTTAGGTTCTAGGGGGCGCCAAAGATAACCCTAAGATCCACATATTTAAAAGTCTTATAACTTTTTATTTTTGCCCTCACTGGCCTCCAAGTTTTCTAGGATGATGCAATGTCCAGCCATCAACACATTTGTGAAGGAATTTTTACTCCCCAAAAGAGCGCCCCCCCATGGCAGGAGAAAAAAGTCCATTTTTTCTTGTCCCCTAAGGTGAAAATACACATTGTTGAGTGTAACACCTGTACGCTTTGGCAAAATGACACAAAAATTGACACACACATGTATCTCAATAAGATCTACGAAAAAGTCAATGCGCGCGTATCTGTCAAATGTACGGTTAAAGGGTTATTCCGCATTTTTTGCCGATCCGCACACATTGGAATTTCGCTAACTCCTCCGAAGGCTTTCATTCCACCGGTACCACATTTGCTCAGGCCAATCTACACCCCATGGCCATTAAAAGTTATTCAAATCATGACGCTGCATCCCACGGTTTAGGTTCTAGGGGGCGCCAAAGATAACCCTAAAATCCACATATTTAAAAGTCTTATAACTTTTTATTTTTGTCCTCACTGGCCTCCAAGTTTTCTAGGATGATGCAATGTCCAGCCATCAACACATTTGTGAAGGAATTTTTACTCCCCAAAAGAGCGCCCCCCCATGGCAGGAAAAAAAAGCCAATTTTTTCTTGTCCCCTAAGGTGGAAATTCACACTATTGACTGTCACGCCTGTACGCTTTATCATATTGACACAAAAATTGACACACATATGTATCTCAATAAGATCTACAAAAGAGTCGATTCGCGCGTATCTGTCAAATGTACGGTTAAAGGGCTATTTTGCATTTTTTGCCGATTCGCACACATTGGAATGTGGCTAACTCCTCCTAAGGCTTTCGTCCCACTGACACCAAATTTGCTCAGGCCAATCTACACCCCATGGCCATTCAAAGTTGTAAAAATCATGACGCTGCACCCCACGGTTTACGTTCTAGGGGGCGCCAAAGATGACCCAAAAATCCACATTCTTCAAAGAATCCACATCCCCCCCCCCCCCCCCCCATATGGCAGGAGAAAAAGTTAAGTTTTTCCTGCCCATCGCTCAATGGCTCAATCGCATCGCTCTCCAGGCAACACCGTAAGGAGGAGCAACCTGCCATTTCGATATATCATAGCTGTGTTTGTGCCCTCACTCATGGTCCAGACTTTTTTCAAATAGGACATGAAGTTTGTCTGCAGCGAGTGTTTTGGTAGAAACTGCGCCTCCCATTCATTATAATAGGAAATGACCACAGACAAGTGCGCACACCATCTTTGGATCTTGAGTGTGACGCGATCGGGAGGGGGAGGCGGTCGCACTGGGGGCGGCGCGACACGGCTCGGGCCCGACAGTGCCCCAACGGGGTCCTAGTTAGGGCCCGAGCCAGCTGCAGAGCAGCCGGGCGTAGGCCCTATTATTCCCCAAGTGGTTTTTCTTTGTTTCTTTCTTTCTTTAGGGCCCGAGCGTAGCTGCTAAGCAGCTGCGAGAGCCCTATTATTCCCCAAGTGGTTTTTCTTTGTTTCTTTCTTTCTTCTTTTTCCTCCCCTTTGAACTGGAAAATGGCCCACTTCCCACTGGCGAAAACTCATGAAATTTGGCAGGATGACCGGGCCTGGTGAAAAATTTGATATTCCGAAGTCGCCCAAACAAGAAAATGCAAAATGGCTCCATAGCGCCCCCTAAGGTGAAAATTCACACTATTGACTGTCACGCCTGTACGCTTTGTCAAAATGACACAAAAATTGACACACATATGTATCTCAATAAGATCTACAAAAAAGTCAGTGCGGGCGTATCTGTCAAATGTACGGTTAAAGGGTTATTCCGCATTTTTTGCTGATCCGCACACATTGGAATTTCGCTAACTCCTCCTAAGGCTGGCGTTCCACCGGCACCACATTTGCTCAGGCCAATCTACACCCCA